CGTGAAGTTTAAACATGCAACTCACAATAAGTAAGTAGCTTTAATCTAGGATCCAATGCAATTGGACTGGAATGGACAGTTCATTTTGGCACTTCTTCTTAATATTGAAAGCACAGTGACAAAGTGTCACATCCTTCCTGAGTGCTTCTTTAGATATGAGGAGAAAGTTCTTCGAAACATGGTGGTTAAAAGCATCAAACAGAAGATAAAATTCCAAAAAAAAAAAAAAAACTCAAATCTAAACACTGGTTAAAAGCATCAAACAGAAGATACAGTTCCAAAAAAATAAAAAAAACTCAAATCAAAATTATTCTTCAAATCTCGAGTAGGAACAATCCTAATCTGACAGGATGATCAGTTTCCAATTTTATCTACCAAGATTCTAGATGTTGTTGCCTCTATCTCCATAGATAGATCTTTTATCATCTTTACCAGATCACATGACAGAATAGCACCTACAAACAAGAATATCAGTTTCGATCTTGATACCTGGCATAATCTCTATCCAAGCATTTTCTTATTAGAATGAAAGATGTCAACTCGAACACAGATTACATTTAATTTAAAGAATTCTTCTGGTATGAGAAGAATTTGATATATTTTAACACCATTCTCTCTGTCAACTTTATAGGATGATCATGAATGATGCATCAACATCAATCACGAAGCACTTTGATTGCTTCTTCATCATAGCTCTTCTAGGAATTGTTTGCATTTAAAACATATAGAAAACTGCCATGAAGTAGGCATCAGCCATATGTACAGACTATAGAGGCAATGGAAACTGGTGCTTGGTTTACTTTTTTCGTAAAATGCACCCTCTGGGATTTTGTAAGGGTATTTTACTGAAGAAGTGATTAGCAAAGTACCGTAGGTAAAATTAATAATATTGTAGGTAAATTTTATTAGGTTGTTAATTATTATTATTATTATTTTTTGTATATAGTAAGAAATTGATACGGAGAAACTTGATTGGAAAGTTATCAAGTGGCCCTTGCAAAATTAGAGAATTTTTTTTTTTCTTTTTAAAAAGTGTGAAGAGAAAAGTTTATAGGTTGAAAATTGTATTAAAAAAAATAAAAAATAAAAATATTATTTTTATTTTTTTATTGTAATATTAATATATACAAATATATAAATAACTTTATATAGTGAAAAGTTTAGAAAAATTTATAAAAAAAAAAAGTGACTTGACAGCCAAACACCCCATTACAAAAAAAGTTTTCCACAACTTTTTCCATATATATGGACCACCTAACAATTTTTTTTATTAATTTTTTATACCTTTTGTTAATTTTTTATTAAATACAGTAAAGTTATCAATTTGACAAAATTTTATTATAAAATATAACAACTTTCTATACAGTATTTTAACTAATTACTTTCTCCAAAAAAACACCTTCCTTGAAAGTTGGCCTTTAACAAATACACCCAGAAACTCAATTAATCTACTTGGTTTTATGTGTTGTGCTGCATTCTTCTTCTTCTTCTTTTTTATTTTATTTTTTATTTTTTTTTGTCAAAAAAACAAAATGCAGGGAAAATACTAATTAGTAATTCCATTTTGGATTCAGCCCCAAGAAAAACATCATACAAAAATACTCATTTTTGTAAATCATCTACTTTTACATCTGCTAGCTGCAATTTGTTCTTCAGTGTTTTCGAACTTCAGCTTAGTTGATCTGAATCCTGAGGTTTCCTGAGTCTGTTTCTCCACTAGCTTGAATGTTTTGGCCATTAAAATGTACTAGATCTTTATTTAGCTTGGAAATAGATATTACAGAAGAAAAAGTAGTCAAAATACAAAGTTTCAGCCACTTAGTACAGGGAAACCAGTATTCAGCCCCACCTAGTTCCCAACCCAAAAAACACAGTACGAAGAAGCTCTCCGAGGTACCTAATGCTATTCCAGTACTCAGTTTCATGCTACCAAAAAAGAACTCCATACATGCAAAGATAGTTATGTTATATTAATTCTTACTGCAGGAGAGATATATATGAGTTTCTTGGAGATGAAGAAACTCAAACCCATATAGCTCCTGCCCTCCTGAGCATTGTGCCAAGCTGGTTCCTGACTTGGAGGGTCATGACCTGATTAGCGCCTCCAATCAATTGCTGCCCTATGAACACCGCTGGCACGCTGCTGCAACCCAGCTGCTGCAACGCCTGCTCTACCTGCTGCCCATTCGGAATCTGATCCAGCTCGTATACAGTAGGGTTGGCCCCAAAGCCACTTATCAGTGACCTGATTGAGTGGCTCATGCAGCATGAGCTACGGCTGAAGATCACCACTGGACGGTCAGTCACCATCCTATTAACCACATCCATGGTAGTGTTATGTATGTGAAGAAGAAGATGGGAAGGAGCAAGGGTAAATGTTGTTTTTTCAGAATTTAAGGGTTGTTCAAGTGCAGAGCTGTGAGGAAAATGAGTGTCGTTGGAGGCCTATTTATACTGATATATGAGATCCATGCATGAAAACACTACCGAATAGGAACAAATTGCACTCCCAAAAAAGATGATTATTAATGGACAGATTATTTTTTCAGCTGTAGTCGGGGTACAAAAATATTTAAATAACTTATTGAATAAGATTTATTAAAATTATTTTGATACTTTTATAGCATGGGTTGAAAAACACCATTCTCGGTAATGGATTCCCACATTGCTTCGTGATGATCACTTTGATAAAGACATTCAAGTTGCTGATAGTGCCTTTTACATGCAAAATTTGATAATAAATATTTATGATCAAAATTATTCATTTAACCTTTACACATGTCTATTAGAATAAGAAACTCTTAGTTAATATTTTAAAAAGCTAACTTCAATCGTATAGTTTAATAGTAAAGTTATTTGTACTTTTAATTATAAGTTTAGAGTTTAATTTTTAGTTTTTACTTATCAAAAAAATATTTTGAAAAGCCAAATATTAAATTTATGTAAATAATACATGTCAAATTTAATTTACAAAATTAAAGAACAATTATATACTATATTCTTATAATTTTCAATATATCTAATATATATATTGAGAAACCAATTATTAGATTAAATGTTCAATTCATATATATAGGTCAAATAAGTTAAATTTTATATTGATTGAATATGTTTAACTACTATTACATTATATGTATGATTTTCTCTTAAAGAACAACAATACACCTTGATTAATCTTTCATGTAAAAAATTAATTACTTTAATAAAATATTTGAGTTTTGATATTTTTGGTGCATAAGATGGTGCGTTATACCGACCCATGGATAATATGAATTGGCCACTTTCAAAATGCCTTCCATTCATTTAAAGTATTGAGTATAAAATCTTTAATTTGAAAATCTCATTTTCATATGGTTAGAAAATTCCTTCCAAGATAAGGTTTTTTGGTTATATATCTGCGGGCATCTATTGAAGAGAGGAAAAAAGTTTGGGTTTATCCAAATGGAGAGGGTACTCTTTTGCCATAACTTAGATTCGCATTTGTTCAATTGAAGAAAACCGAAAGCCATTAAAAAGGAGCAAAGATGCCACAACTAAGCAAGCTATTTTGCCCTTGATTAATTAGGACTAACCACGTGTTGGCCAAAAAAAAAAGAAAGGATTAACCACGGAGATCTATATGGTCCGTACAAGGAGAAGAAGATGATGCCTCAAGGACCTGCAACTTTATTTATATTGTCCACACGTTAAAAAGTAATGAAATAGACATATTCAAGTTATCATCTTTTAATACATTTGAAAAAATTAATTTTTAAAATTTTAACTTCATAACTTGAATCTCAAGTTTAATTGTTAAAAAGACACACTTATTCACTAATGGGTGCAATTTAGAACCCACAACTTTATCTATACTTCAACACCTTGCCCTACTTGAGAGAAGTTATGTAGCTGAGATATTCTCCACGTTAGCGTGCTAAACTATTGGAAAAATGCCCAGTTTATAAATTACTTTATTTAAACACATAATTTCTGGAAAAGTGTCCATTAAATGTCAAAAAGCATATAAACGTGACTGAGATTTTCCACTTCTGAATCAAAAGAAGATTTGGTGATGATAAATATCGGTTCCTGATTTGCTAGATTAGGATTCTTCAGCATATACCGAGGAGATTAGCAAAACTTATCGGAAAGGCACCAGCTGTGTGGGCCGTACATTTACTAACACTACATGTATTAAAATACGAAAATGATTAATTATATTGATATATAATATTATAAAATTATAATATGATATGTTATTATATAATTAATTTTTTTTATTTATAAATTTATCTTGATTGCGTAATGGGAGACAATCATCTCCCATCTTTTATCCCACCCCACCCGTATGTTATGCAATTCGAATTCAAGATCTCTTATTTCTAATAAAAAGAGATAATCATTAAGTTATTTAGGTCGTTAGTATTTAAAAATATATTTGTAATATTATATGTATTCATTTATTTAAAAATATATCATATTTATATTTAATATTATGTCAAAATCAATGATAGAGGGAAAAGATGCGAAGGGACCTCAACTTTTGAAAGTTTTCAGTTTTAACATATATTAATTTTTCTGCTATTAAAGTTTTTAAATAGTATACTTATCATAGAAACTTTAAGTTATTTTCATTTAATTATTTATTATCTTTATAAGTTTTCATATTTAACAACTCAAGAATAATACAATTTATAATATTTTTATTACAACTACCATTTCAAATATGGAAAGAATATATATTAGAACCATATTAAATGTTTTGTAAAAGATAAGAATATTGTAATATAAATAAATTTTTTTTTACACATTGAATAAATTAGGAATCAAGATCTTAATTAAACTCAAATTCAAAGATCTTCTTCCTTTAAGATTTCACATTGTTTTAGAAAATGATTTGATGAATGAAAATTTTAATTGATCAAAATATGTAAATCTTTATTTAATCAGTGATTTCAATTTCTAAGTATTGAATTACATGTTCCTTCTTTTATATTATTTAGTTCTTTGAGATAGAAAATGATAGCTTATAATAAACAAATTTGCAAAAAAAAAAAAAAAAA